CTGCTCTTAGTATTTTCTCCTTAATTTCAACCCTGGTGAATCTGACAATTATATGCCTTGGGGTCGCTCTTTTTGAGGAATATCTTTGTGGTGTTCTCTGTGTTTTCTGGACTTGAATATTGGCCTGCCTTGCTAGGTTGGGGAAATTTTCCTGGATAATATCCTGAAGCATATTTTTCAGCTTGGATTCATTCTCTCCGTCACATTCAGGTACACCTATCAAATGTAGATTAGGTCTTTTCACATAGTCCCATATTCCTTGAAGACTTTGTTCATTTCTTGTTACTCTTTTTTATCTAATCTTGCCTTCTCGTTTTATTTCATTGAGTTGATCTTCAATTTGGCTGTTGAAATTTGTGCATGCTTCGCGAAGTTCCATGTTGTGTTTTTCAGCTCCATCAATTCACTTATATTCCTCTCTAAGTTGTTTATTCTTGTTAGCATTTCATCAAATCTTTTCTCAACGTTCTTAGTTTCTTTGCATTGGGTTAGAACATGTTCTTTTAGCTCAGAGAAGCTTTTTGTTGTTGTTGTTTATAGTGCTTTTATTCCTAATTGCCAAAAGCTGAAAGTAACCGGTATGTTTTTCAATAGATAAATAAACATAATGGAATACATTGGCATAACAGAATATTACATAATGAAAAGGCATAAGCCATCAAGCATGAAAAGCTGAAATACATATTGTTAAGTGAAAGAACTATAGAGACAATGAAAAGATAGTGGTTGCCAGAGGTCTGGGGTAAGGAGAGAGGGATGAATAGAAGAAGCATAGTGAATATTAGGATGGTAAAATTACCCTGCATGATACTGTAATGGTGAAAACATGACTTTATGCATGTATCAAAATCCATAGAGCAAAACGGTGAAAATGGTGAAAACATGACTTTATGCATGTATCAAAATCCCAATATATATACATCATTATTAATTGTAGCATACGACTTATATTAGGATTACACACAGTGAATCCTAATATAAGTCGTATGCTACAATTAATAATGATGTGTATATATATTGGGTCAATAATTGTTACAAATGTACCATACTAACACAAGATAATAGGGAAAATTGTATGACAGGGATGTAAGGGGGTTTATGGGAACTCTGCACTTTATGCTCATTTTTTTTGTAATCCTAAATCTACTCTAAAAACAAAGTGAATAAATTTAACAAATTAATTAAAACAGTAACTCATTTAGTTTCAGATTCTTTTTTTTTTTTTGCATTTTACATTTTGGGGTACATGTGAAGAACATGCAAGATTGTTGCATAGGTACACACCTGGCAGTGTGTTTCTTTTTACCTACCTTCTGAAGCCTGATTCTGTCAATTCATCACACTCATTCTACATCCAGCCTTGTTCCCTTGCTGGTGAGGAGTTGTGATCCTTTGTAGGAGGAGAGGCATTCTGGTTTCTGGTGTTTTCATCCTTTTTGCACTGGTTTCTTCCCATCTGTGTGGATTTATCAACCTGTTGCCTTTGTAGTTGTTGACTTTCAGATTGGGTCTCGGAGTGGACGTCCAGTTTGTTGATGATGAAGTTATTTCTTTCTGTTTCTTAGTTTTCCTTCTAACATTCAGGCTCCTCTGCTGTAGGACTGCTGAGGTCCAGTCCAGGCCCTGCTTGCCTGGGGATCACCTGCAGTGGCTGCAGAACAGTAAGGGTTGCTACCAGTTTCTTCTTCTGCTATCTTTGTCCCAGAAGGATACCCGCCAGATGTCAGTCTGAGCTCTCCTTTATGAGGTGACTTTTTGGATATACAGGGGTCTGCTTGAGGAGACAGTCTGTCCTTTACAGGAGCTCATGTGCTGAGCTGTGAGCTCCATTGTTCATTCAGAGCTGCTGAGCAGGTATATTTAAGTCTTCTGTAGCAGAACTCATAACTGCTCCCCCCTTTTTTCCCCAGGCACGCTGTCCCAGAGATTTAGGGCTTTATTTATGAGTTTTTGTTGTGCTGCTGCCTTTTTTCAGGGCTGCCCTGACCAGCCAGGAGGCAGCCTAGTTACCGTCTGCCTGTAGAGGCTTTGCTGAGCAGCTGTGGGCTCTGCCCAGCTGCCCTGTGAACTTCCCTGCAGTCCTGTTTATACAGGTATAGCTAGAACTGCCTCAGCAATGGTGGTGCACCTTTATAATGGTGGACTCTCTCTGTAATGGCAGGCTGCCTCGGCAATGGTGGGCTGCCTCGGCAATGGTGGACTACCTCCGTAGTGGTGGACTGCCATGGTAATGGTGGACACCCCTCCCCCCCAGAGCTGGACTGTCCCAGGTTCAGCTGTGCTTGCTGTGCAACTCTCAATCCAGAGCATTTCAGATTGCTGTTTTTTTGTGGGGGTGGGACCAGCCGAGCTTGATCACTTGGCTCCCTGCCTTAGAGCCCCCCCCCTTTTTTTTTTTGAGTTGAACGGGTGACTCTGTCTTCTGGTGTTCCAGTCGCCTGCTGAAAAGGTGCCGGGATCTGTGTGATTTCCCATACAGTGACCCACTGCACCAGCTGAAACAGCTGCACTGAGATTCATGGTGCTTTTTTGCCAGGGAATCTCCTGGCCTGGCTCCCTGTTTCAGTCCTTCCTTTTTTTTTTTTATCAGTTGAGTGGGTGACTCTCTATCACAGGAGCTCCAATCCCCAGCTAAAATGGTGCCCAGACCCATGTATTTTGTGCAGAGAACCGTAGCACTGGGGCACTGGCCAAAACAGCTGTGCCGGCCGAAACAGCTGTGCTGGCGACCCGTAGGGCTCCTCTGCCTGGGAATCTCCTGGTCTGTGGGCAATAAAAATCCATCTGGAAATGCAGCATCCACTCACCCTCCATGCTTTCACTGGGAGCTGCAATCCTGAGCTGCTCCTAATCGGCCATCTTGGATCTCTCCCCGCTAAGGTATTTCTTAATCCCCAGAGCTCAACTTCATTCCATTTTGCCTGCATATTCTTACTCAGGTTTACTCTCTTTTGAGATTTTGCTAGAAGCAGCATGGAGCATTCAACATACAAAATCATTTGTCCTTAAAAACTTGAGGTCTGCCTAAAAGTTGTAACCAAGTAGTTTGACACTAGCTTCCCAAGATGGGATATCTGTATTTCTGCTACTCACCACTAAACCATTAAGAAAATGCCAAATGTTTTTATATTTTTGTTATGGCAGCGCCCTACTTCCTGGTTACAACTTCTCTATTAGGTTACAGATAAGCAGCTGCAAAGAGGAGACCCAAGGTGTGAAGTGGCTCTAACAAGACAAAATTCATTTTTCTCTCAGTGCAGAAGATCTACACCTTATCTAGATCTCTCTCTATAGAGAGTAATGTATATATAATAAATATAGCTCACATAGAATGTACATGATAGTATACTGTACACAGGTGAGTGTACAGCCCATTGTATCTTTATTTTTTAAGAGAGATGGAAACAACAAGCAGAGTGTGTATTATGGAATTTGCATAAGTTAAATGGTAGTATGTTGCTACTAGACCATTGTTTCTTCTAGATAAATAAATTATTGATATTTCTTTATATGACCTACAATAATAAATCACCAACTTCAGTTCTTTCTGTCTGAGTTCTTGCCTTTCATTCTGATATGAAATTTTTTTTTTTACATCTGAGATGTCATTTAACATTTTGGGGCCCTAGTTTTCTTGGCTAACAACAAGAATTTGAACTATAATGTCTCTGAATGTCTGCCAGCTGTACTTCTGGGTTTGGATGTTATTGGTATCAGAGCTAGCTCTCCTTTTCCTGAGTTTCTGGTGTGTCCTTGCCTTGTAGAACCTACAGATATGGTAACCAATGGTGCCTCCTTCTTCCCAAAAGCATCTCATGTTCTGATATCTGCCTCTCATTTGTTTCTCAGAATGTCTTTCTTTAACCTTTTTACCTGTGGATGCTGAGGACCGAGCAATGAACCAGGTCTAAGTCTCTTACTAATGTAGATTAAAATCATAGATCTATGAGTGGCTTCTGTCAAGTGTGTAAGACACCATCAATATATTGTGCACAAGTGAGATTTTTGTTCCAAATTATTAACCTAGCTTTATTTTTCATTACAACTCATTTTATAGGTTTTTAAAAATGCTTCTGAGTGGCAAAAACTCAAATTGTTTTTCCTCTGCTCTCACCCCACAACAATCAACACAGAAGACTTCTGTGACCAAATATATGTAGAGCTTTCCTCACTAGTAAGCAGCCCAAGCAGCCCATCAATTCTGTAGTGGCACCAGGTGAGTGCCCTCCAATTGAATCCTAACACTGTCTACTGGAAGATTGTGTTAGATCCCATAGGTTAAGGGCCTAGTCCCCCCAGACTGCCCCACAATCTCCTTGCTTCCAATGCCTATTGCAAGCCTCAGGTTATTTTGCTTGTGCTTCTATAAATCAAGATTCCCTCTTTGGGTTCCATTGATTTGCTAAAGTATTTCACACAACCGAGGGAAACACTTAAACTTACTGGTTTATTATAAAGGATATAACAAAGGACACAGATGAAGAGACGCATAGGGCGAGGCATGGGAAGGGGCACAGAGCTTCCATGCCCTCTCCACGTACCAAACACCTTCACCTGTTTGTCTATCTGGAAGCTCCCCAAACCCAGTTTTTGGGGGGTTTATGAAGTCTTCATTCCATAGGCATGATTGATTAAATTATTTAGGATTGATGATCAGTAGACAATGATCAATTCACTGGCTATTAACTATAAACATGCGGGTACCTTTTTTTTTTTTTTTTTTTTAAGAACTTATAAGACCATATTTCACTATTTTCTTGCCTTCATTTTTTTCTCATGAAAAGTCAATTACAGCTTGTTTTTTTAAAATAATATTTTTCTCAGTCATGTTTAAGATTAAGCCTGCAGCCCTTCTCCCCTCCTTGAAGGTTGGAGTTGAATGTCCCAATCCTCTAACCCTGCTTAGGTCATTCAGATGACCAACCCCCATCCTGAAGCTTCCCAGGACTACCAGCTATCAGTCAACTCATTACCTTAAAAAAAGACACTCACTTTGAAGATTCTAAGGAGTTTTAAAAATTGTATTGCCAGAAACAGGGTAAAAGAACAAATATACATTTTACCATATCATAGCTATATAATATTATCTTTTAAATGTTTTTTGTATTTTCTTGGAACATTTCACAGATTAGTAAATGAATAACAAGCTCACGAATAATTCAGACTTATACTCAAAAATCTTCGTTGATTCCTCACATCTTGAGTATTTATCATTTCCATTTACACATTTCCAGACTTTTTTATTCAATTCTAAATACGCGGTTTTGTATCTGGCATCATTTCCCTTCTGCCTGAAGATCTTTACTTTTTTATAGCATAATTCTGCTTCTGACTAATCTTTTACTCTTCTTTGATTTGGAAGTGTATTTATTTTTCTTTTACTCTTAAAAAATATTTTCACTGCCTGTACATTTCTGGGTTGATATATGTGTGTATAAATATACATGTGTGTGTACATATATTTTTTCTCCTAGAACTTTTAAGACAGTATTTCACAATTTTCAGGCCTCCAATTTTTCTATTAGAGAGCCATGACAAATTGTCTTTTTTTCTAAACATTATGACATTTCTGTCAGCCAGGTTTAGGAGTCCGTCTTTTTCGTTGGTTTTCAGCAGTCTAATGCTTATGAGAAAATGTATGGTATTATTTGTATGCACCCTATATGAGGATGATGAGCTTATGAAACTCTGGCTTTGAGAAATTTTTGGTCATCACTTCCTAAAATGTTTTTTTCTACTTGTTTTTTTCGTCTCCTGGAACACGAATAATCTGTATGTTAGAGCTTTTTATATTCCCCCATGGGTTTTGTTACCAAACAATAGTGAGTCCACTCGTACAGTGGGTTAATATTCACACAGTGGCCAAATATTCACACTGAGGTTTGCCACTGCAGAATGGAGGGCATTTATTTGCAGGGTACCTGGCATGGAGAATGTGGGAGTGCATGCATCAGACTCATCTTCCTGATGGCTTTCAAGCAAGTGTCTTTAAAGAAATGGGTATATTTCAAGAAAGCAGAAGTCACAGGCAAAGTCATAGATCATATGGAACTTATTCATTGCTTTGATTTAAAAAGATGGGATATCTTGAAGCAGAGGCTTTTCTAAGATTTTCTGATTTGCAGTTGGTTCAGGAAGAGAAGTTGTATTTAAAAATTTTGGGTCAGCAGAAAGATACATAAGTTCTGGCTTGTAGATGTGACTTCTTCCAGGCCCCTTAGGAAGACCCTTGGAACTAGTCCTCAGTTCCTCAGTATCACTCCTGCATCTGAAAAAAAACCAGGGTCATGTGTTAAGATGTTATTTGCTTCTTGATAGAAACTAAAAATATCTCACGGCTCTAACTTCCTTGGCTATTGTCTTAAGCTATTATTACTTTCTTGCTTATCAGGTTGCTCATTTACTTCTCAAGGCTTGCTAGGTGCCTGGAATCTCCCTTGAAGGGACTCAAGATTCTCCATTATTTTTGTGCTGGGACAGGGGGTTTGGGGTAGGATGTTGGGAAGGGTACCCAGTATGCTCCTGGGCATAGGAGAGGGGTTCCTACTTTCTTTTAATTTCTGAAGCTCTGATAATTTGTTTTCAATATTAGCTGTATCTTTAGATTGAGTACCTCTCACTGATTAATTTTCACATTCACTGAATTCCTCCTGTCATCTCCATTTTTCTATTAAATCCATTCTGCTCTAGTAATTTTATTTCTGTATTTCAGATATTTACTTTTTATTTCTAGGACTTACCTGCTGACATTCCCTATCTTTTAGCTTATTATAAGCATATTTTCTTTCTTTATTCAGCACAGATATGAAAACTGCTTTAGAATTTTTGTCTGCTAAGTCCAACATCTAGGTCACCTGGGAATTGGAAATCGTTATCTTTTCTATGTAAAATATGTATTATATGCCTATTTGATTTGTGTGAAATAACTGTAGATCTTATTCTGAATATGTTAAGTAACATGTTGTAGAGATTCTGGATTCTGTTACGTTCTTTCAAAGAACTCTGATTATTTTTAAAGCTGGTTGTTAACTTGGCAAAATTCAAACTACAAACCCTGTCTGCCTTGTGGTTGATCATCTGTTCTCAGACTTGTTCCTTAACTTTAGCGATGCTGTCTGGAATTCACTTTGTACAGGCATAATTTAGGATTCATTCGAGTATTGGGGCAGAGTTGATTCATGGAATTGAGGATGCCTGTCTCTTGCTTTATCCTTTCCAGGATTTCTTCCCCACTTTCTGCTGGCTGTAGTAGCCCTAAACTCAATTCTCTCATTCTTCAGATTAGTGAAATTATAGGCTTCTTACATATTTGATGTGATATGCAGTCTGGGACTTGTCTTCTATAAAATAATCTCTGAAAATCAAATATTCATATTCATAGATAACTATTCCCTTTTTCAAGTGTCAAATCTTGTCCAGGTTCTGCCTCTACTATTCACTGCCCAGTGCATTTGAGTGGTTGCTTTTTATAGTTTTTCCAGAGTTGATGGCTGTTTTCTCTGACTTTGTCTTAATAAGAGCTATTAGCTATTACTGGACAGAATTCCCATATGCAAATGATGGGAGTACATGGCTCCCATATAAGTAGATGGCTACATTGCTTAGTCTGGCATTCAGGACTCTGCACAATATAGCCCTAACTTCATTTTTAACTTTCATTTTACACATCCCACTTACATTATAGTCTGCTACATGTCATCCAGTCATTGAGCAAGAGGTTTTTGAATACTTTCTATGTATCAGGCAGCTGAGAATAAAACCGGCGTTTCCCTTGCTCCCTTGGAGCTGACAGCCTAGCATGGGTGACTTCCAACTGTGCTAGATTATTACGTCGCTGAATATTTTCGTATGCTCATTTACCTTCCCTCTATTTTAATTTCCTCAAATTTTAACTTCTAATTTTTCTATCAATGCTATCATTCCCAAATTTTGTTTCATCATACCCAACAGAAACTATTGTACATTTTCTTCTTTCAGTTTGGAAATTAAAGAATGTTACAGATTTAGTGCACTTTTATTGTGCTGCAGTGTTCATCCCACTGTATGTGTATGGAAATACTTAGTCAATGAGTTAGTGCTACTGACTGCCTCCTAATTTAATTTATAATTCATCTTAACATTTAGGAAATGTACAAGTTAGTTGCCGATAGAACAAGTGATTAAAGGCTGCAAGATTTGATTTCAACACATAAATGAAAACTTTAAAATGACTTTCAAAACATTTTGAATTGAAAATGTCTTACCTGCCTTCTTTCCATACCAATATGAATCATCAGCCCCTCAATGATGAATCATCAGAATTTTATATTGATGTTTCACTTTTTTCTTTTTTCTTGACAGAGTCTCGCTCTGTCACTCAGGCTGGAGTGTAGTGGTATGATCTCAGCTCACTGCAACGTCCCCCTCCCAAGTACAAGCAATTCTCTGCCTCAGCCTCCTGAGTAGCTGGGATCACAGGCACCTGCCACCACACCCAGCTAGTTTTTGTATTTTTAGTAGACAGAGGTTTTCACTATCTTGGCCAGGCTAGTCTTGAACTCCTGACCTCGTGATCCACCCGCCTTGGCGTCCCAAAGTGCTGGGATTACAGGTGTGAGGTACCATGCCTGGCTGATGTTTCATTCTTAATTGTTTGATTCCCTCTATCATGATGATGTTTGAAATGCTTTTGCAGTAACTTTCATGTTCTTTCAACCTGGGAGTAAATAATGAGAATGTGAAGGTCAAGGAGGAACATTCTCTTTATTTTAACTCTTTGCATTTATTTGTTCTCTGACCTGCCAAATAAAGGCAGAAGTTAGTGGTGCAATGAAGCTATTCAGGTCATGTAGAATGGTTCAAAACCAGAGGGTTCCAAGAGCAGTTTTTGATACTGGAAACCATGTCTTTACTTAAAATTTATTGCATATGCATTAGTAACTTTCTCTTTTTTTTTTGGATAAACACACATGTACATGTTCAGATAGATAAAAGCTAAATCACTGTTATCTATCCTATGGGATTCTATCTCCTGAGCCACAATTCTGAATGCTGACAAAGGTTTCTGTACCACTGCTGAGTGTAAAAGGATGTCTGAAATAGAGGTTATGTAATGAAATGCTAGAATTTCAGAGTAATCCAGTGACTAACAGAGCTAGAATCAGAATCTGAACTGCCCAGAAACACCCAAAGCATGAGACCCTCACAGATGATTCATTTTAATACAGAAGTGATGGCCTCTATCTAGTGCATTATCAAGATCTGGAGTTTCTTGATAGCATTTTATTTTGGATCTATCATTGCACATTGTGCAATCTTGAAAACACACAGGAAAGGCTGACATTCAGCTCCAATATGGCCAAAACAATGGTGTAGCTACTATCTGTTCTGATTGTCAGTGCCTATACCATAGCAATTACCAAACATTTTTATTATATGTTCTCTTTCTTTCAGACACATACACACACTCACACACAAAGGAGATGAGTGCTTTATTTTAGAGTGCTGATTGATTTTCCTTAGAGGAATAAAATACTTTGCAGAAATGAGATAAGATTATACATTTTAGCACACCCAAGTGAATGTTTCTTCTAGATTTTATATGTATATATACATATGAATATGAATGTACATGTGTCATACATGCAAGAACACATATGCATGTATGATACATATGTATTCTAGCGTATATATATAGATATATCATACATGTAAATGTTATACATATGGATACATACTGTATATCACCTCTCTACTGAGTTTGTGTGTTCTTATGCACCCAAATAATTTTCAGAATTTTATTTCTGAGACACACCACGTGTATACTTGTGACTCTAGTTTATTTTCATGGTTAAAAACATCCTATTCTATTATTTTCAGTGTTATTTTATAAGCAATGCTTCATTCTTTGTTATGCTTACTATTAATAGTATATATATGCAAGAGTGTCTCTAGCATATATACTGAGGAATAAAATTGCTAGGTGATAAAATACAGGCATCTTCAACTTTATTGGATATTGACTAATCACTTTTTAAATAGTGTAAATCAATTTATGTCACCAGCAATGGGCAACAGTTCTTTTGTTCCATATCTTTTTTAACAGTTGACGTTGTCTAACGTTTTTTTTTCTTTAGATAATGGAGTAAAAATGTATCTTATTAATTTTTCATTTTATTTCTCTGCTTTAAATTCATGTGGTAGAGAATATTTTCATTTTATAGTTCATTTGCATTTTCTCCTCTGAATTGCTTGTTCAAATCTTCTGCTCAGTTTTCTATTAGGTATGGTTTACTCCTTAGAATATTATTTTTCTCAAAGATTATTTCAAAAGAAATTGGAAGGATGTCTTTTTCATAAATAGAACTGAGAATATATAATGTGAACTTCAATATGGTGACCAGACACTGCTTATTCTTTGAAAAGATAAAAACACTAAGGTAACGTTGATCAGTGGACCATAACAGTACTTGGATTCCTGCCTAATTACAAACTGGGCATTGAGAAGGGCTTCTCTCCTCACAGTAATTATATTGGAGGGTTGCCTTGATAGTGGTGGTCTTCTGGTCTGAAAGAAATCATGTACAGCTATGTGAGAGTGCTCCTTATGTGTCCAGGGAATGCACTGTGAAGTGTCTCACTGTCCAACTCTTACTCACTTTAACTTATCTCACTGATTATATATAGAATAAGGCTGCTGTCCAGACCTTACTGGCTCTTCCAAGCAGATGTGCACAGGTGGCCTGCAATCTCAAGTGCTCTTCTATAAATAAAGTTTATTAGGGGATTAAGTGATCACTTGTGGATTGGACCCATGAGCCTAGCTGCTTGAAGATTTGAGGGATGCCCTGGCATCTCCTTGTCCAAGGAAGCTTTCTTTTCTAGGTCGTTCTGTGCCTCTGTACCTCTAGAGATTTCTGGGATTTTTTTTTGTACATAACACGGTCCATAGTGATGTAATGTATTAGATTAGGTAGGGCATAATAAAGCATTCATGTTTTCCTTTCTCAACATATAGAAAGCAGATGTGTTTCTAAAGCTGCTCAGAAAGTGAAGGTGTAAGGAAGAAAAAAAGAAAATGAAATAACTATATTTCCAGGCTAGGGTCATGATGTGCATATGGGCTCACCTCTACACCTGGGTATGGCTATTTGTCAACTTAAAAAAAGGGGACATGAGGCCGGGCGCGGTGGCTCACGCCTATAATCCCAGCACTTTGGGAGGCCGAGGCGGGTGGATCACGAGGTCAACAGATCGAGACCATCCTGGTCAACATGGTGAAACCCCGTCTCTACTAAAAATACAATAAAAATTAGCTGGGCATGGTGGTGCATGCCTGTAATCCCAGCTACTCAGGAGAATTGCCTGAACCCAGGATGTGGAGGTTGCCATGAGCCGAGATCACACCATTGCACTCCAAGAGCAAAACTCCGTCTCAAAAAAAAAAAAAAAACGGGACATGAATGACCCATTTCAGTGTAAGTTTTCTGTCTCATATTTGTGGTCACATTGAGATGTCTATAAAATTAATGATAATAATAGGCAAAAACCTTTAATAGGTTGACGTTTCATCTTACTAGGAGCAGGTGAGATGACTGAGACCCCTTCCTTGGATTGTAAGGGTCATGTTACAATGGGAAATTAATTAATTTGTGTCAATTTTCTGATGTGTAATGTGGGGATGCTGTCATACTGCTTGAGTCCAAGTACTAGTCTTAAAACTAAAAATAATAATTGTTATTATTTTATAACATCATTTTAGCAATGAAAAATCAGTAAGACCCAAGGTGTTTTCCTGACTTTTCCATGGATCTACAGCTGATAAGGGAACTCAGGTTTAACCTAGACCCTACATCCAGTGCTATTTCTGCTAATATATCCTTTCTCTCCTCTTGACATAGAGAGATTTGTTTATCAGATGAGGCAGTAAATATAAAAGTGTTTTGAAGAAATGAAGCCTGCAGTCAGTTATGTATTTTAAGGTATTAATTCTTAAATAGAAAAAAAAATGGTGTATTTAGATTGACCCTTTGTCAATTATGAACAAGCTACATGGTGCTCCACCAATGTGCAAATTATCATGCCAAGTACTAGGAGTGCAAAACACGGCTTCCTAGTCCTGGCACTAGCGGTATTTTGAGCCAGATATTTGGCGGCATCCCTGGCCCCTACCCTCCAGACACCAGTAGCACACCACTCCTCCCCAGTTGTGACAACCAACAATATCTCCAGATATTGCCAAATGTCTGCTGGAAGGAAAAGTGCCTCCTTAGCCCTCAGCTGAGAAGCATTGGCATAGGAATATAAAAGGTGCTCTCTATTCTCCAAAGAGTATGTACAACATAGGGGGGAGGGTGATGTTGGACTTATTTGCGACACACATACAGACATTACCATGAGAAAGCTGAGCAGGTTCACCTTCTGTGTGCTGACAAAGAGTTTTGTTTCTAGTCCTGGTTTTGGATTCTTATTACATATGTATGAATAACAATGAAAACTGCGATGTCAAAAGTCTCACCACAATTTTAGGAATGATGAAATGCTGCCTTCCCTTTCTTAATAGCAGTCTCTCAAACAAGAAGTTAGTTTTTGATAATACTAAATTTTCAATTTTATCACAAACCAATAACAAATAAGTGACATAAAATACATGCTCTGTTGAAATCTTAAATTTTTTTTAGAGATGGCATCTCGTTCTGTCATCCAGGGTGAACTGCAGTGGTGCAATCATGGCTCAGGGCATCCTTGAACTCCTGAGCTCAAGTGATCCTTCTGCATTTCAGCCTCTGGAATAGCTGGAACTACACGTGCAACCACACTTTAAATAAACACTGGCCGGGCACGGTGGCTCATGCCTGTAATCCCAGCACTTCGGGAGGCCAAGGCAGGTGGATCACAAGGTCAAGACCATCCTGGTCAACATGGTGAAACCCCATCTCTACTAAAAACACACACACACAAAATTAGCTGGGCATGGTGGCGTGTGCCTGTAATCCCAGCTATGCAGGAGGCTGAGACAGGAGAATTTGCCTGAAACCAGGAGGTGGAGGTTGCGGTGAGCCTGGGTAACAAGAGTGAAACTCTGTCTCAAAAAAAAAAAAAAAACTTTGTAAGAGACAGGGTCTTACTGTGTTTCTCGGGATATTCTGAAACTCTCAGACTCAAGCAGTCATCCCACCTCAGCCTCCTGAGTGTGGGGAGCAGTAGCCATCTTGTAACTATGTTGCTTAAGCTTTTGTTCCTCTTATCTAAACCTCCAAGTTTCACATTCCTCCTAGTCAGGAGGCTAGCCTGCAGTCTTGTCTCCATGGTTGCTCTCTGACCTCAGCCCTCAGAACTTCCCGCCCTTGCTTGTTTATAAGCAACCACCTTGTAGCTAACAAAGGAGACTTGATCAGATCCTTGACTTGTCCCCATTCTCCGCGTCTCCTGTCTCTCTTTTAATCACCACTCCCTCCCTAGGGTCGGGACAAACTGGCGCCTAACGTGAGAGCTCGAGTACGAGGGACACAGTGAGGGATGCCGTCGAGGTCAGCTGGCACAGAAGGATTAAGAAACACGGAGGAAAGAGCATCATGGGAACCTGCCACGGACTCACGCTCCGGTAAGCAGACGGCGAATATGGGACAGGAAATCAGCCAGCATGAGTTGTTCATAGAGTTTAAGTAAGGCTTTAAAGGCACGGGGAGTAAAGGTGAAAATAAAACGATTGTGTAAATATTTTGACTACTTTCAGGATGTCTGCCCTTGGTTTCCCCAGGAAGGAACCATAGACCAAAAACAGTGGAAAAGGGCAGGAGATGCTTTAAAAGATTATTACAGTGCTTTTGGACCCGAGAAGGTCCCAGTCACAGCCTTTTCTTATTGGAACCTGATAGATGAAATTTTAACTCAGAGATGCCATGACCCCCTCATTGCCAATGTAATTACTCAGGGAGAGTCTCTCTTAAAGGGAGAACTCGATAAAAGCACCCTCAACAGTTCTAAGAACCCAGGTGACTCTAAGCAATTGTCTGTAACTGATGAGGCGTAGTCGCCACAAGCTAATGAGGAGGATTTAATGTCCTCTGATAGTGACTCAAAGAAGGGGATGCCTGGAGAGTCACAATGCCAGGCTGAGACTAAAAATGTGCCTTTAGCAAAGACAAAAAGAGGGCAAAAGAGGGTGTCTGCCCAGGGGGCCCCCAACTCAGGATCTAGACACACTAAAAAGGAAAAGACCCCCTGGCTAATCGAAAGAGCAAATAATTCTGAAGATGAAGGCATTGAGGAAGGAATAGATTGGGATGACTTAGAAGAAGAGGTGGACCGTTGTAAAAAACTCAGATTGGTTCCCCCATAGGTGGCGACCTCTGCCTTACAAGGCGGGGCCCTCAGCACCCCCAATGGCATGCCCCGTTATTGATCCCCGAAAAAGGTTACTAGAAAAAATGGAGTACCTAAAAGAACAGGTTAGGCTTGAAACTGAGCATCAAGAACTCATAGAACAGCTTGAAAAAATAAAAATAGGTAAAATAAAGAATGAGGCTAAAACTCAAGTTACCCAAAATGTCATACCTCCCCGTAGGGGAGCGGCATTAAGACAACCTCCTCAGCTTAACACCTTATTAGATTTAGATGATCCAAGCGCGTACCCGGTGACAGAAACCACCGACCACCAGGGGACAGCTTGGAGGCATCATGCCGGTTTCGATTTTATAATAAAGAACTAAAAACTGCAGTGGCACAATACGGCGCTACTGCTCCATACACCACTGCGATTTTAGAATCAGTGGCCGAAAATTGGCTTACCCCAGGAGATTGGCAGACCTTGGCCCGAGCCACCCTTTCAGGGGGTGATTATTTGTTGTGGAAATCTGAGTTTTATGAATGTTGCAAGGAAACTGCCCACCGCAATGCACAGGCTAATGATAATTGGAATTTTGACATGCTAGCTGGTCAAGGAAATTACGCTACCAGCGACGCACAAATGCGATATGATGCAGGTCTGTACGCCCAAATTCAAACTGCGGGAACAAAGGCCTGGCGAAAGCTGCCTGCAAAGGGGGATGTTAGTGCCTCCCTTACTAGCATAAAACAAGGGCCAGATGAAGCTTTTTAGAATTTGTACATCGCAGGCAGAATTTTTGGTAATGCAGATGCAGGTACAGATTTTGTTAAACAACTCGCATTTGAAAATGCTAATGCTGCCTGCCACGCGGCTAACCGCCCTTATAAAAGGAAAACAGACCTCTCAGGGTATATACGCCTGTGCTCAGACATAGGCTCTGCCTATCAACAGGGGTTAGCTATGGCTGCAGCCCTACAGGGCTATACTGTGAAACAGTTCTTATCTAATAAGTCAAAAAATAGGTGCTTTCAATGTGGCGCCCCTGGTCACTATGATAAAGATTGTAATGCCGATAAAAAACCCTCCCTTAATACAAAAGTCCCTGGCTTATGTCCACGATGCAAGAGAGGGAAGCATTGGGCCAATGAATGTAAATCCAAAAGGGATGCCCAAGGGCAACCACTTTCTCCACATCAGGGAAACAGAATGAGGGGCCAGCCCCAGGCCCCCAAGCAAAAACAAATCTATGGGGCAGTCAGTTTTGTTCCTCCAACCAACAATCCGTTTCAAACCTCTGTCGAGCCACAACAGGAAGTGCAGGATTGGACCTCTGTTCCACCTCCCACACAGTATTAACACCTGAAATGGGGGTTCAAGCATTGCCCACAGGTGTCTTGAGGCCCCTGCCTAAGGGTTCTTTTGGACTTACTCTAGGACGAGGTGGCCTTACCCTACAAGGTCTACTTAATAGATAATGATTACACAGGAGAAATCAAAGTCATGGTAACCTCCCCTAAAGTTTTAAGTACTATCTCCCCTGGACAAAGATTTGCACAGCTCTTACTTCTCCATAAAACCCATAATAGAGTTATAAAAAAGGACAGAGGTAACTTAGGCTTCGGTTCCTCTGACGTCTATTGGGCAGAAGTGGTACCTTCTGACAAGCCCATGATGAGATTATGGCTAGATGGAAAGGAATTTACCGGACTAGTAGATACTGGAGCAGATGTGACTATAATTAACAAAACCCAGTGGCCTGCCACATGGCCAGTAAGTGCTACTATTACTCATCTCACCAGTATTGGTCAGAGCAAAAATCCCGAGAAAAGTACAAAAATGTTAAAATGGGAGGATAAAAAGGGAAATCAAGGTCAAATCCAACCTTATATTGTTGCAGGCCTACCCTTCAACCTTTGGGGAAGGGATTTGCTGGCTCAGATAGGTATGGTCATAGGTAGTCCTAATGAGATCATTACTGCCCAGATGCTTAAACACGGGTATGTGCCTGGCACTGGAAAACCCAAACTGGAATTTTAAACCCTATCGAATCTAAACCAAAAACAGACAAGAAAGGAGTAGGACATTTTCAGTAGGAGCCGCGGTCTGTCCTGTAGCCCACGCAGACAAAATTACCTGGTTATCAGACAACCCCGTATGGGTTGACCAATGGCCCCTCTCTTCAGAAAAATTAGCTGCCGCACAACAACTGGTACAGGAACAGTTACGGGTGGGGCATATAGAACCTAGTAATTCTCCTTGGAATACACCAATCATCATTATTAGAAAAAAGTCAGGAAAATGGCGCTTGCTACAGGATCTTAGAGAAGTCAACAAATCCATGGTCCTCATGGGGGCCTTACAAACTGGGCTACCTTCTCCTGTCGCCATACCCCTAAACTACTATAAAATTGTTATTGATTTAAAGGACTGTTTCTTTACTATTCCATTACATCCAGATGATCAAAAATGTTTTGCTTTCAGTGTGCCCTCTACCAATTTTAAGGAACCTAGGAAAAGATATCACTGGAAAGTGTTACCTAAAGGCATGGCTAATAGTCCAACCTTATGCCAGTCTTTTGTTGCCTAGCTATTCAACCTATTAGAGACACCTGGAAAGAGATCTATATTATCCATTATATGGATGATATTCCTTTAGCAGGAAAAGTTGGACAGGATGTTTTGTCTTGTTTTAAAGCCTTACAAACATCTCTTACTCAACATGGTCTGCTAATAGCTCCTGAAAAGGTGCAACTCACAGACCCCTATACGTACTTAGGCTTCCAACTAACAGGAAGCCAAATTACTACGCAAAAGGTACAACTCAGGTTAGATAAACTGAAGACACTCAATGACTTTCAGAAGTTATTAGGAGATATTAATTGGCTACTACCTCATTTGAAACTATGCAGGGCAGATCTCAAACCGCTATATGATATTCTAAATGGAGACCCAAACCCCACATCACCTCGCGACTTAACCTCTCAGGGCATACATGCTATTCAACTGTGGAACATGCCATCAATCATCAGACCATCACTTTTGTAGATTCTAGCAAGCCGCTCCAATTTATTATTTGTCAAACCTCATTATCTCCTACTGCTGTATTTTGGCAAACCGCTCCACTCATGTGGGTACACCTCCCTAACACGCCAAAAAGAGTCCTTGAACCATATTACGTTATGGTAGCTAATCTAATTATCCAAGGCCGAACAAGTTCAGTGGCTCATGCAAACTACTGAGGCTTGGCCTATAGCATTGGCTTCCTTTTCAGGACAATTAGACAACCACTATCCCCCTCATAAGTTGATTGCTTTTGCCAATAGACATGAATTTATCTTTCCAAAAGTCACAAAATCTGAGCCCATTTCCACTGGACTCGTAGTGTTCACCGATGGTTCATCCACAGGTATAGCTGCCTATGTTAGTCAAAGCCATACCGTGCAGTTTCAAACTCAATCATCCTCGGCTCAGCTTACTGAGCTGCAAGCAGTTATAGCAGTATTCTCTGCTTTCCCTAATCAACCCTTAAACATTTACACCGATAGTGCATACATTGCTCAATCCATACCTAATTTAGAGACAGCTCACATCATCAAACATACCTCTTCAGCTGCAAAATTATTCAAACAATTACAACAGTTCATCATCAGCAGAACTCATCCTTTTTTTATTGGACACCTGCGGGCCCACTCAGGATTGCCTGGACCACTGTCACAAGGCAATCAACAAGCCGACCTAGCCACCTGCGTTTTTCATACATATGCCACAAAAGCTAAAGACCCACTATCTCAAGCTCAACACACACACAACCTACACCACCTTAATGCTCACTCCCTTAGATTATTACATCATATTACCAGGGAACAAGCTAGACAAATAGTTAAGGAATGCACACAATGTGCCATTCACTTACCCGTACCCCATTTGGGAGTTAACCCTAGGGGCCTAGTCCCTAATGCACACTGGCAGATGGATGTAACTCATGTTTCAGAATTTGGCCATCTCAAATATGTTCATGTATGCATTGATACCTTTCTGTTTGCCAAACTCCAAACTGGAGAAGCCACTAAACACGTCATCGGGCACTTACTATCTGCTTTTGCCACCCTTGGCTGTCCACAAAAAATTAAAACCGATAATGGACCAGGGTATACCAGCACAGCCTTTGCCCGGTTCTGCTCTCAATTAAACATACAACATATAACTGGCATCCCCTATAATCCTCAAGGCCAAGGGATAGTTGAGAGAACCCATCTCACTTTAAAAATTACCTTTGAAAAAATAAAGGGGGAATGGTACCCCATTAAGGGGTCCCCCAGAAAACTCATGGCACATTCACTATTTATACTCAATTTTTTAACTTTGGACAAAAATGGACACCCCGCTGCAGAACGCCATTGGCAATCAGAAACTCAAACAAAATTTGCATCAGTGATGTGGAAAGATCCTATGACTGGCTCCTGGCATGGACCCAACCCCGTACTGATTTGGGGTAGAGGATCAGTCTGTGTATATGCAAAAGAAGCAGATTCAGCCAGATGGCTACCAGAGAGATTAGTGAAACAAGTAGACAGTAAAGGAACATCAGGATGTGAGGATAATAACCCCTCCCAGGGAATGTGTTAAACCCTGAGGATTATTCCCTGTTCCCCCTCTTTCAATCTTTCAGAAACATGCGGACCTTAATATTGATATCCCTGATAATCGCTCTCATACCTAAGACCGACAGCGGATTCGGATCACAATATGATGTAAGATCAACTTGACTCCCTAGCCGAAGTAGTCCTGCAAAACCGACGAGGCCTAGATCTGCTCACCGCCCAGAAGGGAGGACTGTGCCTTGCATTAGATGAAAAATGCTTTTATGCTAACCGTTCTGATGTTGTCAGAGATAAGATAAAAGCCCTGTAAGAAGACCTGGCAAAAAGAAGAAAAGCACTCTTCGATAATCCATTGTGGGGAGGGTTGAATGGGTTCCTCCCCTATATCCTCCCCCTCCTCGGCCCTTTTGTCGTTTTCCTCCTACTCCTCACTGTTTGTCAAACAACAGATTGACTCCATAAAAATGCAGCCCCTGCAGGTCCATTATCATAAGCTGGAAATGGCTACAGTGGAAGCTTGATAAGCACCACCAACCGTTTCTGACATCGCCTGATGAGCTGGACCACTTAGCCAATGACGGGCAACCTGAGAGCCTAGCAGTAAGATATGAATCCCGCTCACCCTATGACGGGTAAGGGTAAAAAGCATCACTGCAGGTGTATCTCTTGACCTAAGACAGGCATGGTCCTCACAGGCAATCGGCCACACAAAAATTAAATAAAAAGGGGGTACCTGTGGGGAGCAGTAGCCATCTTGTAACTATGTTGCTTAAGCTTTTGTTCCTCTTATCTAAACCTCCATCTTGTGGGCTTCCCTTATTTAAGTTTCACATTAGTCACGAGGCCTCGTCTCCCTGGTTGCTCTCTGACCTCAGCCCTCAGAACTTCCTGCCCTTACTTGTTTATAAGCAACCGCCTTGTAGCTAATAAACGAGACTTGATCAGATCCTTGACTTGTCTCCATTCTCTGCGTCTCCTGTCTGTCTATTTTAATCCCCACTCCCTCCCTAGGGTGTCTGTTGCTCGTCCCGCAGGTCGGGACACCTGAGTAGCTGGGAATACAGGTGTGAACCACTGCGTTCAGCTCTGTTAAAATTTTCAATAGTACGAAAATATATTAATTAAAAGTATATATTTGGTTTTAATTACCTTACATGAAAACCCTTTCCCTGTATTTTCTGTTCCACTGATTATCTTTTGCTACCTGGTCAGTTTTTTTGATTGGGTATATTTGTCTTGCCATTGGTTCTGCTTCTTTAGTAAGTACACCAATTATTAATCTCTGCATCTATATTCTCTCTAATCGTTTTTATTATTTTCTTTTTTTTGTTTCTCTCAGACCTGTCTTCCAACTTGATGGATATATTGGTAACATTATCTATTCTATTTCTTGCTGCTTTCACTATGCTTTTTATTTCTGTAACAATTTGTTTATCTGCATTTTTTGAGACAATAGGGGACATATTGAGAAAGCATGTGAAGACATCAGTGGGGCTTACACTGAATTTGAGCCAATTCCACAGTTTCTGAATGGGATTCCTAGGTGTGGATAAATGGACTTAGAGCACAAGACAGCTCATTGAAACTAAGCTGATGGAGAGTGAAGAAAGGTAAAGGGACAAAATAGGGTGACTGCATTACTTTGGGCTCTCCAGAGAAACAAAACCATGAAGATCTAGTTATATCTGTCTCTACTTTAAGGAATTGACTTACCTGATTGTGGAGGCTGAGAAGTCCAAGATCTGTATTCAGCAGGCTGGAGACCTAGAAGAGCCAATGGTATAAATTGCAGTTTTTATCTGAGTTTCAAGGCAGAAGACCTTTTTATGTGAGCTAACTAGGAGTTTTGTTTCTGTTTTTTTATTTTTAATAGGCATAAATAGCAACAAAAACTGCTGTAACAGGAAATAACACATTTTAGGAATAAACTGGTTTCTCCTCCTTAACTGTGGTCTCTCAAACAAGATGTTAATCTTTAATGATACTACATGTCCAATTTTATCACAAATAATACATAAGTGACATGAAATACATGCTCTGTTAAAATTGTATTTCATAAGTCTATTCAATAGATGGGGGAGAGAAATCTGCTTAACTCAGTCTCTACATGAGATTAACATTTGAATGGGCAAACACTATCATAGACACCTGGTGACCCCCTAGAATACTGTTGAACCAAATATCTGGGCACCCTGATTTGTCAAGTGTACAAATAGATCAGCATGTTGGCCTTGTGTGGCCACTTATCCATAGATCTAGTATGAGAGACCTTCCCTACTGCATGCATAAATGCCTCAGTTTATCAAGGAGTGCCCTGCATCCTGGCTCACCCATACATGCTCTGCACCTCTAACATTGGCAGACACATATGACAGACAAGAAGGATGAGAAATGTTCCCTAATCCTACACTGCAAATAGTAGAAAAAGTAAAGAAATTCAGTGCTAGGCATGACTGTAATCAGGGTACAAGGAAGCACTACAAATAATCTAAGGCTAAAGAAATTGCATATTATTCTGTCTTGAGGACTGATACTTTAAAAGTATGTACATGGACAGCAAGGAAGGACTAGGACACTCACTAACTTTAGTATTCTCTACATGTTCTTAAATTCCCAATAGAGTTAATCCCTGAAACACAAATAGTATCTCCATTTTAAGTACCTACCTGTAAAGAGTTCATTTAAAGTAAGCTAGGGGGTCACCAGGTAATTACAATAACCACAAAACTACAAAAACTTCATAACAATAAAAATATACATTCTCAAACAGAAGACTTCCCATTATAGAATAGCCAAAGTCAAAAGTGAAAGTAAATCAAAGCAGCTGAGTATATAAGCTGCAAATGTAAATTATTCCATTTACCAGGTTTTTAAATGATAGAGAAATTCAGAGCTCAGCTTAAGTACACAGTCAAAAAAAATCCAAGCATATTATATTTTAATGAGTTCCAATCACAAGTAATTCATTGTGACATCCTATAAAAGATGAGTGCTTGAATGCTCTAGGAAAGATGGTTACGGAGCATTGTTGTTGGTATCTGGATGCTACAGGCAGAGCCAGATGGAAAAATGAGTGGTAACATGAGGTTCAAGAAGTCATAATATGAGGAGGATCCAAGATGGCAGATTAGGCACAACTCCAGTGCACAACACCCAGCGAGAGAGAGACAGAAACCCAGAGATCTCCTAGCACCAACTGAGGCACCAGGTGCATTTCAATGGGTTTGGTCCAAGGGTGAGCAAAACCCACTTAGGGCAGACCGAGGGAGGGAGGGGTGCTGCTTCACCCAGAAAGTGCATCTGACTGGTGAGTTGGAGGCTCTACCTCTGGTGCTCCAGTCCAGATACAGCACTTCCCCCAAAGCCTTGGAAATACACAGAAAAGGGGATCTTTGCCAGTCAAGCATGGGGAATTATAAGTGTGGAGTTGAGTAAGAGTCTGCAGACTGAGCTATCACCCCCTCCCCCTGCCCAGAGAGGAAGCTGTAAGCAGGAGCAGATGGGCCACCCCTACCCCATGACCGAAGAGAAAGCTCGAAGGGGGAGACTGCCAGGTGCGGCTGGGCGAGTCCCTAACCACCCCCACAAACCCCAGAGGGCTGAAGCTCTGACTCTGGTGGGTTGCTTAGCCAATGCTGTAAGGCCGGTTGCCTTTCTGGGAGTCAAAGGGACACATTCATCACTCTCCACGCCTGATAACTGCGTCATCACCTGAGCTCATTTTCTGGCTTTGCCACGTGGCTTCCCCCACACCTGCCTCTGCATACCATACCCAAGCCCACACTCAGCACTAAATTATGCATCCAACCTCCAGCCCACTGTTAAAAAAACCCTGCAGAAAAAATTTTAAAGAAGCCCCACCATACCCTGCCTGGCAACAGCCTGCCCCATATACCCCTGGCAGGCCCGCATACCCAAGGTCTTGGCCGCCTACCAATGGCAGCTAGTTTCATGTACTTCCTACTTTAACTCCATATACTTCCTGCTCCTCAACAGCCAATAGAAATGCCTTCTCTTTGTTTCCCCAGTAGTCAATCAAGGCCCACTTACCCAAGGTCCCGCCCACCTACAAATAGCAACCAGCTCCATGTACTTCCTGTTCCTCAACAGCAAATAGAAATACCTTCCCTTTGTTTTCCCAATAGCCAATCAGTTGCCTGCCCTCCCCTTAGAACCCCATGCCCTAAACAGCCAGGCATGACTTCTCTGGCCCCACCCTGGACCACAGAACCTTGCCTGGGAGCTGAATAAATTAGCTTTTCACTTTCTTATACTTGCCTCAGTTTCCTCATTTTACCTTGGCAATAAATCTTACAAGTGCCACAGTCTGAGATGAAATGATCCAGCCCACTGGAGGAAGGGCACAACCCACCACTAGAGGGGTGGGACTGGGCTACATGTTTTAACAAAAAACACAGGAAGCCTACGTAGCAACAGGATGGCATTCTTGACAACCCAGCAGCACCTAAATGTCAGTGGAAGAGGTGGGCCTAATCTCCCAGCATAAACAAAAAAGACACAGGAAGCTTCCCTAGTAATCTGAATGAGTCCCTAGAAACTTAGTAGCAACCCAACAGGCAGACAAGCAACCTCATCAAGCTGCTCTCTGACTCCACAGCCAGGTAAATCCACAAAGATGGGAAAAAAAACCAGCACAAAAAAGGTAAAACCACCAAAGACTAGAACACCTCTTCTCTTTCAAGGGATCACAACTTGACCTAGAAGGAGTGCGAAGAATTAATGGAAACAGGATTGAGAAGGTGGATAATAACAAGCTTTTCAGAGCTAAAGGAACACATTCTAACTTGATGCAAAGAAACCAAAACCTTGAAAAAAGGTTAGACGAAATGCTAACTAGAATAACCAGCTTAGAGAAGAACATAAACGACTTGATGGAGTTGAAGAACACAGCACGACAACTATATGAAGCAAACACAAGTTTTAATAGTCAAATCGATCAAGCAGAAGAAAGGGTATCAGAGATTGAAGATCAACTCAATGAAATAAAAAGAGTGAAAAGATATGAACAAAGCCTCCAAGAAATATGGGATTATGTGAAAAAACCTAATCTATGCTTGATTGGTGTACCTGAATATGATGGGGAGAATGAATCCAAGCTGGAAAACACACTCCAGGATATTACACAGGAGAACTTCCCAAGCCTAGCAAGGCAGCCCAAATTTCAAATTCAGGAAATACAGAGAACTCCACAAAGATATTCCTCAAGAAGAGCAACCCCAAGGCATATAATTGTCAGATTCACCAGCGTTGAAATGAAGGAAAAAATGCTAAGGGCAGCCAGAGAGAAAGGTCAGGTCACCCACAGAGGGAAGCCCATCAAACTCAGGGCAGATCTCTTGGCAGAAACTCTACAAGCCAGAAGAGAGTGGGGGCCAATATTCCACATCTTTAAAGAAAAGAACTTTCAACCCAGAATCTCATATCCAGTCAAACTAAGCTTCATAAGTGAAGGAGAAATAAAATCCTTTATGGACAAGCAATTATTGAGAGATTTTTGTCACCACCAGATCTGCCCTACCAGAGCTCCTGAAAGAAACACTAAGCATGGAAAGGAACAAGTACCAGTCACTGCAAAAGCAAACCAGTGAGTGAGGGGGCAAAGACCAAAAATGCAATGAAGAAAATGAGTCAACTAATGAGAAAGAAAACCAGCCAGTAACAAAATGCAGGATCAAATTCACACATAACAATATTAACATTGAATGTAAATGGCCTAAACGCCCCAATCAAAAGACACAGACTGGCAAACTGGATAAAAAGTCAGAGCCCATCAGTGTGCTGTATTCAAGAAATCCATCTCACACACAAAGACACACATAGACTCAAAATAAAGATTTGGAAGAAGATTAAACAAGCAAATGGAGAACAAAAAACAGCAGGGATTGCAATCCTAGTCTCTGATAAAATGGACTTCAAACCAACAAAGATCAAAAGAGACAAAGAAGGACATTACATAATGGTAAAAGGATCAACCAGCAGGGAGAGCTAACTATCCTAAATATATACGCCCCCAACACAGGAGCACCCAGATACATAAAGCAAGTTCTTAATGACCTAAAATGAGATTTAGACTCCCACACAATAATAGTGGGAGACTTCAATACTCCACTGTCAATATTAGATTGATGAGACAGAAAATTAACAAGGATATCGAGGACTTGAATCCAGAGCTGGACCAAGCGGATCTGATAGACATATATAGAACACTCCACCCCAAATCCACAGAATATACATTTTTCTCAGCATCACATTGCACTTACTCTAAAATTAACCACATCATTGGAAGCAAATCACTCCTCAGCAAATGCAAAAGAACAGAAATCATAACAAACAGTCTATCAGACCACGGTGCAATCAGACTAGAACTCAGGATCAAGAAACACACTCAAACCTGCACAGCCATTTGGAAACTGAACAACTTGCTTCTGAATGTTGACTGGATAAACAATGAAATGAAGGCAGAAAAAAAGATGTTCTTTGAAACCAACCAGAATGAAGACACAACTTACCAGAATCTCTGGGACACCTTTAAAGCAGTATCGAGAGGGAAATGTATAGCAATAAATGCCCACCAGAGAAGAGAGGAAAGATCTAAAATCGACACCCTATCATCAAAATTGAAAGAACTAGAGGAGCAAGATAAAAAAAACTCAAAAGCTAGCAGAAGACAAGAGATAACTAAGATCAGAGCAGAACTGAAGGAGATAGAGACACACACACAAAAAAAAACCCTTCAAAAAATCAATAAATACAGGAGCTGGTTTTTTGAAAAGGTCAACAAAATAGACCACTAGCCAGATTAATAAAAAAGAAAAGGGAGAAGAACCAAATGGATGCAATAAAAAATGATAAAGCAGTTATCACCACTGATCCCACAGAAATACAAGCTACCATGAGAGATTACTACAAACAGCTCTACTCACATAAACCAGTAAACCAGGAAGAAATGTATAAATTCCTAGACACTTGTAGAGTACAAAACTAAACCAGGAGGAAGCGGAAACCCTGAATAGACCAATAACAAGGGTTGAAGTAGAGGCAGCAATCAATAGCCTACCAACCAAAAAGAGTCCAGGTCCAGATGGGTTCACAGCTGAATTCTACCATACAAAGAGGAGCTGGTTCCATTCCTTCTGAAACTGTACCAAACAATACAAAAGGAGGGAATCCTCCCTAACTCATTTTATGAGACCAACATCATCCTGATACCAAAACCAGGCAGAGACTCAACTGAAAAAGAAAACTTCAGGCCAATATCCATGATGAACATTGACTCAAAAACTTCAATAAAATACTGGCAATCAGATTGCAACAGCACATCAAGAAGGTTATCCATCATGAACGAGTAGGCTTCATCCCAGGGAGGCAAGGCTGGTTCAACATACGCAAATCCATAAATGTAATCCATCACATAAACGGAACCAAAGACAAAAGCCACATGATTATCTCAATAGATGCAGAGAAGGCCTTCGATAAAATTCAACAGCCCTTTGTGCTAAAATCTCTTAATAAACTAGGTATTGATGGAAATATCATAAAATAAAAGCTATATATATGACAAACCTAAAGTCAATATCATACTGAATCGGCAAAAGCTGGAAGAATTCCCTCTGAAATCAGGCACTAGACAAGGATGCCCTCTCTCACCACTCCTATTCAACATAGTATTGGAAGTTCTAGCCAGATCAATCAGGCAAGAAAAAGAAATAAAGGGTATTCAATTAAGAACGGAGGAAGTCAAACTGTCTCTATTTGCAGATTACATGATTGTATATCTAGAAGACCCCATCATCTCAGCCCAAAATCTTCTCAAACTGATAAGCAACTTCAGCAAAGTCTCAGGATACAAAATCAATGTGCAAAAATCACAAGCATTCCTATACACCAAT